AGTTGGATTTGCATATACTCTACGTAGAGGTAACAAGAAGAGGTGGTTTTGAGAAGGTTCGTTTTCCTCGTTTAACTTAAAATATACCCATGAAGTATAAGAAATGTAGTGCCTTATTATTATTATTATTATTATTATTATTTTCAGAAGTCTTTAAAGAAACACATGAAAAATAAAATTAAAAAAAATCATGTGTAGGTTGTTGCAGAGAAGAAATGGAGGGAAGTGGGTAGTATTTTCATGTTCTCACCAACAACAACAAGTGCTTCTTTTGTGTTGAGGAAACACTACTTTAGCCTTCTTTACCATTATGAACAAGTTTACTTCTTTAAAATGCAAGGTCCTCTTTGCAACCCATCAGGTATTTTTTTTTTAAATTCATTGTTTTATCTCTTATCCCTTTTCTTTTATGTTTTTTTTTTTTTTTTTTTTTTTTTTTTTTTTTTTTTAAAATTATGCCTTCATCTTATTTTTGTCTTCTTTAGCATCTCCTTTCTTCTTTGCCTACTAAAAAGCTTTCCCTTTTGTCGTTCTCCAGTTGCATTTCCTGTTGGCGGCCGTTCATGCAAACCCGAATTGGCTATTGTGCAATATTCCCCCAAAACCATAAACGACAGTCCGAACCCACATATTGAAGGTGATTTTTTTAAAATTTTTTTAATTTTTTTCCCCACAGCTATTGCGGATGGTCCAAAGGCAAATGCAAAGTGAATAAAGTGAGAATGTCAAAGTCAACCACACACCACAAATACTTTGCCTGGTTCTTCTGGCCCCGCAATATTTTCTATTTCACTTTCTTGTCCTGTAATGACTTTTTCTACTAGGTTTTGTGATCTTGTCAGGCTTATTATTTGATTCGAGCAATCTTTGAATAGATTATTGAAGTGAAACTTCCATACTATTGTTGTTTTTTAAGCCAAGAGTAAATTTTTATAAAAATCTCTCTAAAGAAAGGTTTTGATGGGGTCCCACATCCAACGTCGTGTTTCAAATTTGCGGCTGCTGCTTATCTATATTTTTACGGATTAGGATTAAGATTACATTGAAAAGTTATGCCAATGATTTTTAACCTTTGTCATCCTTGATATATTTTTTTAAGGCATTGGAACAATTGAGGGGAAATTCGATTGTGGTTATTTGGTTACTGTGAAGCTGGGGTCGGAGATTCTTAGTGGAGTACTTTACCATCCAGAAGATGAAGGCCCGTCTACCCCGGTTTCGGTTCCCCAATGTAGTAATGCACTCGTGCCATACACCGGAAAACCTAGACACTCCCGTCGGAAAAGGAGAAGCAAAAGAAGGGGAGACCCCAATTATCCGAAACCTAATCGGAGTGGATACAACTTCTTCTTCGCCGAGAAGCATTACAAGCTCAAAGCCCTCTTCCCGAACAGAGAACGGGAGTTCACTAAGATGATTGGCGAGTCATGGAGCAATCTCAGTCCAGAAGAGAGGATGGTAATTCGAAAACATCAATGCGTGGTTGCTAAATATTTGCATTTTTAGGCTTCTGTTTGTTGAATGCCTTCAATGCCTTTTTTTTTTTTTTTTTTTTTTTTTTTTTTTTTTCTTTTTCTTTTTTTATTTATAGGTTTATCAGAATATCGGGTTGAAAGACAAGGAAAGATACAGGAGAGAGTTGAAAGAATACAAGGAGAGGATGACAAACGGGCATACAGTGGAGGTTAACCAGGCAAGCTATTAAGAGTCAAGAAGTGAAGAAAGTAGAATTCCATCTGGAAAGTGTGTAAATAGGGAATCCAAATCCAAATAGAAAGGAGTATATAGACTTTGTTATTGGAAATTCACAGTTCATATTATTCCTTTGATTATGGAGGTGTTCTAGCTTTATATTTCTACTACAAAGTACTTGCTAATGTTTCCCAACTTAAGCCTTGTATGCATTTTGAGTTATTAATCATAATGTTGTTTCATGCCTTTAAGGGAAGCTAAATCTCAGTAATTGAAATCACAGAAGATATAAACATGCCATAAACCATTAGTTTATAAGTGGTCCCATTTCAACTAGCTTTTGCCTGCCACAACCACCACAATTTTAGTTCAAATAGTATTTTTTTTAAATAAAAAACTATAATGTTTTTCCTCACAAAATTTGAATTCCAGTTGGTTTGAATTCTCAAACCAAATTCAAACCAAACCAGAAATTATGAGTTGTTGTAATTGGTTAGTTAAGTAGTAAATATGCATAAAAATGAGTAGAAACGACAAAGAAAAGAATGCCTTAGACTTTTGGCGAGGACGAAAGTGTATTATGGAAAATCAACATCTCAATTTCTGAAAGATACGAGAACATTGTGGTAGCATTATGTATTTTTGTTCCATTAACAAAAATAGAAAAACTAAACTTAAAAATGTAAATCAAGCTTATTCTTTTAATAAGCAAATAAAAGTTCGAGCCTTTCCCAAACGACAAAAAATGTAGAAACGAACCAAAAAAAGGTATAGCCTCTACAAATCATCAAGGTGAGAGACAAAATCTTTTCTAGATTGGCTACGAGAAGAGAAAACGCCGTTGGTCGTACAATTATTTACGAGGTTTCGTTCGAGAAGAAAAAACTAGTTCTGGGCTTTGGCATACTGTGTCTGTCGAAGGATATCGATACGTTCATTTCAAAGTATTTTGTCAATCATGCACGTTTGTTAAGGCCATGAAAAAAACGGTGTTTTCTTCTCTTTGAATGCCCTCCCTTATTCTTTGACACAACGTAATGTACAAACTGTACCTGCATATGCCCAACAATCAATAAGCAATTATTATTATTTTTTCAAATTTTTTCAATTTCTCTTCTGCGAAAATGAACAAATAAAACGAGGCGTTAGAAATAGAGCAGAAAACCTTAGAATTGTTGCGTACGCCAAAGCCCTCAAGTGCAGCCTTGTCATCAAGTAGCTTCTCGTTATGATACGATAAGCAAAAGTTTGCCCAAACGTGCTTCCTAAATCTCCAAAAAACCCCCCCCAAAAAAAAAAGAAAACAAATTTCCATTGAGTATTCGAAGCTCAATCAAACCCAAAAAAATAAATTTTTATGTTTCTGATTAGATTATACAAACCATGATATGTGGCGGTGACCCATCTTTGACTGCTCCATCTCGTTCACTTTCTGCTTGATCGCAAGCTTAAGATCCTTAACACTCGCGGTGTTCATCACTGCCACGTCTACCCCACAAAGAAAAAAAAAACAAATAATCTAATAATCTGAAGGACGTGAAAATCTTCGAAAGACGCACGTAGACCAAGTGTTTGTGAAAATGCCAAGCCGAAGACAGAAAGAAAGAGAGTTTGGAGAGAGTTACCAAAGGAGGTTCCGTCGAGCTTCAGAACTGAAACTCGCATGGCGCTGCCGAGTTCGAGGCTTATGAGGGTGTCGACATCGGGCAAAGATGGTTTCTTTGGGACATCGGAGAGAATCGGATCGTCGAGAAGGGCGGCGAGAGTGGAGTTCAGCCTCGCCTTCTTGATGTTGTTGGTGTTGTAACCTTCCACGTTTAGATTATCTTCTTCCTTCGTACTTGATTCCATCGCCGGTAACGGCCTGCACCTGTTTTCCTCTCCAATTCGCCGGACTAGAAATTTCGGGATATTGTTTAACTCTGGCTTCACCCCCGACCGACGGTCTTAGCCGACTCCTGTGTGAATTCACGTGGGCCTTAAACTTTTGAAAGCGGGCCCAGCTCCAGTCTCAGATCCAATAATACGAACTTAGGCCCATCTTTTAGGAACAGAAAATAACGCATTAGGAATGATTATCATCTTTTTTTTTTTTTTCCTCTATCTTAAATTTCTTGCTGATATTTAGAATTCATCTACCTCTTGTAACAATAATTTTTTAACTTGTGTAGTTACAGATTATTGTTAAATTGGTAATTCACAACACTATTCACTCACGGAAGTTTTGGTAGTGTATACAAAAGGATATAAATATATATATATATTTGAAACGTATAAATAACATATTTTTAAAATAATTGACGTAATTAGGGTACGCTGCATATTTACCAGTAAATATTTATATCAAGTATTTATGAGTATACAAAATTATATAAAATAATTTATTGGTATACAAAATTATATAAAATAATTACTTATCAATAAATATGTTATTTACTTTAATTATTTAAAAATATGTAACTGTTTAAAAAATATTTTAAAAATATGTAATTTACTACAATTATTGCATAATCATTCAGCCCTTTTTGTTTTTAAGCATCAAGTCATCAACTACTTATGATTTACCATTCTTCTTCGTTGAAAATATTTTGATTTACCCTATTAGAACTCAAACCTAGAATCTAGATGTCACATCTCAAAAAATATAAAGAATAGAAATACTGCATCTCACTGAAACGGGACTAAATTTAGAAGTATTTTATGAAACTTGACGCTACCTCCTAAAAGAAGAGATAAATAAATAAGGGCTTCTTCTTTTACCGTTTTTGAGTTAAGTAATTTGAGTGTAGATTTTAAATTGAGTTTGAGTTATAACTTGAGTTGAAGTTGTAACTTGAATTTGTGTTTGGTTGTGTACATTTGAGTTATGGTTTGAGATAAAAATCTTTTTGAGTTTGAGTGAGTCAAAATTTGAATTTGTATTTAGATAGTATTTTAATAAAAAACTCAATGCTGATAGAAAATTTTAATAGGGTATATGGGTGGGATTTTATTCGTCTTTTCGTTGTCAACGCATAGAAAAAATCATCTCAATCAGAATTAAAACGAAAAAGTTATAGTATTTTTAAGAATAGAAAAAATATTATTCATTAATTTGAGTTCGAGTTTCTGAACTCAAATTGAAGGAGAAACTTGATCTCGAGTTTTAGTCTAAAACTCGAGTTCAAACTTAAAAGAACATGAACTTGAATAAAGTTGTAACTCGAGTTACTTTTTTTTGAGTTTTTGACTCAAAAACTCAACTGCCGAACAACCCCTAAGTTTGTACCTAGAATTTTGAGAATAATAATAATAATAATAATAAAGTATCGTTCATTTCACCGATTTGAGTTTTGCTACAGTTTAAAACTCTCAGAAACAATAACATTTACCTTTTTAACTATAGTAAAAAATTATTACATAAAGTCACATTTTAATTCGAATCAACGAACTAAATGGACAGAAAAAATTATCTTCCAACAAGATTGAGAGTGACAAAATTAACCAAACACAATGAAACATTTCTTTCCGCGTATGAAAACCGTTTTATGAGCATGTAACAGATAACAGTAATTTTGGTAAATTAACAGATAACAGTAATTTTGATAAATTAACAGATAACAATATTATCTAAATAGCAGATCAGCAAGAAAATAAAAATAAAATAAAATATCAAATAACAGTTGTACGAGGATCTCCCAAAAGAAATCCTCCACAAAGCGCAAGATAGACTATCACTCTAGAGTCTAGGCATATCAAATAACAGTTGTACGAGGATCTCCCAGAAGAAATCATCCACAAAGCGCAAGATAGACTATCACTCTAGAGTCTAGAGTCTAGGCAGCTCATCAATTTATTAAAAAAAAAAAAAAAACATAACAAAACCCAAAAAAAGTAACTTCCAAACAAAACCAACTTTTTCAGTTCAAGAACTCTTTTGCATCTCAACGACCTTCTTCCACGAATCTCTGCTCGAAATCTCATCCCACCATCTTCCCACATTCTGCTTGGAAGTAAATATCTCTGCCCTATTAGCCGCCGTCACCAAGTACTGGGTATTGGGCAAGTGGGACAGATCCGCCAGCGAGAATTCGTCGCCGGCCAAGAACCGGCTCTCGCCGAGCCTCTTCTCATACACTTCTAGAACCTTCTGGAGCTTATCTTCGTTCTGCTTTATCGCTTTAGGATCTTGCTTCAGCTTCATTCTCGGTGCGAACGCAAGCTGAAACACGAGCGTAGAGCTTGGTGGGTTGAAGCTTTGCCCTTCTGCTTCTATCCACTGATCTATGGAGGCTTTTTCCAATGGGTTTGTTCCGTACAGTCTCTTGTTTCCCTTCTCCGCATGCTTCTCGCAGATGTAACGGCATATGGATCTGGATTCTGACCAAAACCCAGAAAAGAAATAAACATTTTTTTCCCATGAATTTTGAATTTGTTTTCAAACTGAATCAATTTGACGAGAAAAAATAAAATAAAATTGTGGGTGTTTGAATTTACCGAAAAGGGTAATGCTCTCGTCTTGAAAAGCCGGGACTTGGCCAAAGGGCTGGCAATGGTGAAGAAGAGAAATGAGAGTGGGAGAAAGTGATTTTTTTTTTTTTTTTTGGATTCACAAATTGTATGAGAATCAAAATACCTGGATCTTGAGGAACTCAGGCTTCTTGTGGTCGCCTTTGGACATGTTGATTGGAATGAGCTGAAATTCGACATCTTTCTCATGAAGACAGGCTAAAACCCTTGAGAGAGCAGTGGACATGGGTGGTCCGTAAACTTTAACTGGAGTCGCCATTAGAGAGTATAGCTGATTGGAATGTGGATTTGCTGCTTTTTTTCTTCCTCTTTTTTGTCTTTGGTATTGGTCATTGTTTCTTATATGCTTGTGTGAGTGTGTGTGTCTTGTTTTACGCCATACAAAAGCACGGGAAGCTTCAGGCACTTTATCCCTTGCTTAAAATATGGTACAACTGGAGTTGGGTCCACCAAGTTGAGATTTAAAAAAGAATGTGGCCTAACCTAACCTAGATAAGACGCTTTAATTGACCCATTTTATTTATGGGCTTCAAGTCCCTCTCTCTCTCTCTCCTTTGTCGTTGTTGTCGTTGTTTTCTCTCTCTATCTTTCCTTTATCGTTGTTGTCGTTGTTTTTTCTCTCTCTCTCTCCCTCCTTTCTCTCTCTCTCTCTCTCTCTCTCTCTCTCTCTCTCCCTCCTTTGTCGTTGTTGTCGTTGTTTTCTAAAGGAAAATGTTTAATATTGCACACTTCTTTATCTATGTGATAATATATTAGGTCATAAAAAGTTATAGTAAATGTAACTTGGAACATTTGAGTTATGGTTTCCTTGGATGTTAGAGCTTAGAACTTAGAACTTAGAACTATTTTATTGATTTTGGCATATGATAAGGATGTTTACATCCACAGTCCTTAAGTTTCACACAAAGGAATCCATAAACTAAAATTGTGTTACAGAAATTTATCACAATTCAACTGCGCAGGAATGATCTCTTATCACCGTGATTTACACTTCCATCAACATGGCACAATTCTTTTCCCCCAAGCACAAACATCTTTCACAAAATCAAGGAATTAGATTCCTACTTTTTATTATTATTATTTTTTTCACTTGAGTTAATATTTGTTATACACGTTTTAGCACCAAATTATTGCCACTGATTAGTAAGTCCCACTGGCATATGCATTCTTCATCACTTCCTCGGCTGCAAAATAAGCTGCCCACATTGAAGTTGAAGGCGAATCATCGGCGTTGCAACTCGGCAAGCTTCTGACATTGACGTTAAGAGGCAGCATTCGGTACTCGATGTCGAGCTCTCTGAACACCTTTATCATCTCTTCAACTAAAAGGGCTCTCTTGGTCCTTCTCTCTCCAATGTCTTGGTGGTTCATTCTGTGTGTAAGCAACACCGAGAATCTTAATTTGTTCAAGTCCTCCACGTCCTTCATTATCAACATTGGATCCGGGTGCCAGTGGTCGCTTCTGCTCTGAATATACCTGGAATTTTATAGCAGCCACAGCCCCACCAAAATTACTTTCTTATAGAAAAATATTTGGTTAAAAGAATACTAAGATCCTATATTATTATGCTGGCACATAATTTCCAATGCTACGATGGCCAAATTTTTCAAGGCAAGAGCATATTCTTCACAGTTGGCTGATGAGAAGAAATCATATAGAAATAGAAAATTCTGAAAAAAAAGAGAAGGATAAAATTTTTACCTTTTTATTCTTTCTTTAATAGTGGCTATTTTCTCCATTGGAGTCGAGATGTGGACGCAAAAATCAATAGCGTCTCCCATGTCTGGACTGCGATAGAAATTTGCAATGGGCTTGGTTGCTAGAACGCTGTTGGGGTATATGATCTTTTGGTTGTCATACCTCACGAAGATTGTAGTTAGTATATTCATTTCGTCTACTACCATCTGTGACACAAATAAATTACTATAAGGGACCCTTTTGAAAAAGATGAAAGGGCCATAGTAAAGTATCTTTTCATATGAAGATCTTTACCTGGACTCCGTCCACTTCACAATGATCACCAACATCGAAAGGGTGCACAACAAATAAGAAGATAATTGCTTCAAATATGGTTCTGCAGGAGTTTCCGAAGATAAATACGACCAAAAGAAGCTGGGAGCTTATGAAGACGAGGAAATGTGCGATCGGAATTCCGAGTATAAAAAGCGAGGTTATCACAATGAGGATGGCTACAAGAATATTCAACATGTTGTGAAGCTCGTCCACAGCTGTTTTTGTATCATTCAGACAAAATGCAAGCGCTCTTCTCGCTCTAAAAGCATTTACCTAACAAAAGAAAAGCTCACAACTTGGCCAAAAGAAGTTTCTTACTACCAATAAATAAGCTCTATCTATTACACAGCCAGAATCAATAAGGAACGTCAGAATTAAAGCATGCGAAAGAGGAGAACTTTACCACCCAATCATTCAGAGTAGCCTTGCTAATTCCCTCTTTTTCAGCTGCTGCTCCAAACAAGTGGATTGTCCTCATAGCTTCATCTTTACTCATAAACCGCATCAAGTCCTCTAGGAATATACATCTGTCACAACGAGTACATATAATATTGACATATCTTGCAGAAAGGAAAATTGGAATTGTACAGAAGAAAAAGGTTTCAATCTCAGGGTTAAAACTTTTTTGTACAAGAATCATTTGACACAGAGCAAAAAGAAATGCTTCAAACCAAATTGCATATAATTTTTAAACGGAAGAAGGGCATAGTAACATACTGGCACCGCGGCTTGGCTACTCTGGAGAAAATCTTCTTGGCAGCTTCTTTTGCCTGGCAAACAGTTTTAATCTGCAAAGAAGACTCATCGTCGGTATCCGAATTGAGTATTCGCTCATCCAGAGTTGTCAAAGATCCGTTCCTGATGATACGCATCATTCTCCTCATATTCCAAGCAGATATATTCTTCGGGTTTAGCTTATGCAAGTAATCAATTGGAATTTTCTTGTCATGCCTCTCAGAAGCGTGCCTCGAAAATGTAGGACTCCTATTAAGCGATGGGAATGGACAATCATTCCTTGGAAGAAGAGTTGCCCTGAGCTCACTAGGCACGGCTGCCCCAGCACTCTGAAACTCCCTAGCCTCATGTCTTTCCAAGGATATCGGAGGACCAGAAAGCGTCTCGATCACGTACTGATTGAACAAAGCCTCCTGAATTCTTTCAAAGAAGTTGTTGACATGGAAAGACAAAGCAAGGACCTTAACAAGAAGTGTTTTCAGAAGCCAAACCAAAGTGCCCACCAGAAAACAGACCAAGATCTTGGTCACATAAGGCAGGATCCTGCTTTTGGTCTTCTCTTGAACCTTTTTATCAAAGATGCCGTGCCACACAAGCAAAACGAGCCCCAACCAGAGACAATTTTGGACAGACCTTCTTAAACCATAAACGAAATACAAAACCCTTTTCCGCAAAAGAAAATTTCGCTCCAAAACGATCACAACCAACCGAATCACCCAACCGGAGACTAAACGTCCACATATTAACGCCAAAACTAATATCTCCCATTTCCATAATGGAAGGTCCCAAAGATTTTGCCTCTTTAGAATTGGAATCCAAAGGCTACAACCCAATGCTGCAATGATCAAAACAAGGCTTACCCACTGAAGAAGCGTAACCGGGCTGCATTTGGTTCCCTTATATTCTTCTGGAATGTCGTCAAGGTCGTCCTCATAAGAAGGCTCATTGTCACTGTGTAGTCCTCCAGAATCAACTGTTCTTTCTGATTTCTGACGCGGTTCGTCGACTGGATCGATGAGCCTGGACTTTGTCTTGCTCGGAGGTGGCTTCCACGAGCTTTTTCGAAAAGAAGCGTTTGAACTAGACCTCGCAATTTCAGCCATACTAGTACCACCACCCCCACTTTCTTGGTTTGTTAACTCAGTGTTTCTTCTTCGTTTGCTGCTGTCAGTAGGCCTTTCAGGTGAGCCCTGACTACAGTTACTTTTAATGCTGATTACTGCTTCTCTATCCCTCTGATCAGCCATTGGTTGTGTTTTATTGAGAGCTTAGAGAAGTTGAACTTATCTCTTCTTCTTAGTTGGTTCTGTTTTTTTTTTTTTTAAATATGTTATAATTTTTTTTTATAAAAATTTAAAACGTAAATGTTAAAAATCAAGAATTATTATTAGTTTAAATGTATAAATTAAACGGCCATTAGTGCGGAAATGTGGGTTCCAGGACTTTCTCTAAAGTTCCGGTAGTGTCAACTTTTTAAGCGATTCTCGATCCACTTTTAGGTATTGTTCATTTCGCTGATTCGAGTTTTTAATTTGAGTTAAGATGTGATATTTTCTCAGAGTTTTTTATTGTAGCAAAAAAAAAAAAATAGATATGATATTTTTTGAAAATTTTTTACTGTAAAAACTTAAAATTGAAAACTTGAATCGGTGAAATGAACGAGATCCGTGTTACAAGAGGAACTAAGATGGAATAATTGCCCATACAGAGAGAGAAAAAGAAAGCACTTATCGTTTTTTCTTTTCACACACTTACTGTTCCACTTGGGTAACGTCTCAACTTTCATATACTATTTCACCCAAGTCATGAATATTTTTTTTAATATTATTTAACTGTAAAAATGCTCGTACAATATTTCTTATTGCATTTTCACTTGGATATGGCCCTGTCAATTCGAGACAAGTCCAGGATATGATGCAATGGAAGGTTAATGAGTAATCAAAAAAGGGAAAACTACAAACCAATTATTAGCCGTTTTTACCATAAGGAGAACAAAAAGAAAAAAATAAAAAATAAATTAAAGCAATTTTTACAACGAACATGTGCACATATACACACCAAAAAGTCTCTTTTAGGTCTGCATGAAGCACCAATGCCCGAATTATTTTTAAGGATTTCGTCACCCCCGATTCACCGAATCAGAGCTGAAGTGCATTTATTCTCGGGAAAATATTTTCTAAGCATATAATATATCAATCTTGTTGTCTTTTACGAATCTTTTTCTGAGTGGTCAAGTGGCTACAGAAATACACTAGGACGTCGAATACCAATTAGGATATATACATTCCAAATATTGCATGTACTTTAGCGTAATGTGACATGAATCTATAGCTAATTAGTGGAAAGTAATGTTTCTAAGCAAAAAAATAAAATTAAATTAATGAACTTATTAGGCGTGTTTGTTTTCATTTTTAAAACGTTTTTCACATTTTTCAGAAAAAAATGAAAATAGAAAGGAGAACGTGTTGGGACAGCACCGTACCAAAATTAGAAACAAAAACGTTTTTATATTTTTCTCAAAAATTGATGCATTTTTGAAAAACGAATTAAAGTCGTTTTCATTTTCTCCGTTTCCATTTTCTCTCCGTCTCCAGTCTCTGAAATTTTTTCTTAACTTCACTTCTCTTCCTCTTCTCCGTTCTCTTCTCTACTATCTTCTCCGTTTTCTCTTTCCTATACTCAATCTGGACTCCTGATCTCTCTCTCTCTCTCTAAGATCTTGTTCAAGAACAACCAAAAACTCTACAATAAATTCCATGTTCAGTTAATTTGATTTTGATTTCTTTTGCTTTGTTCCGGAAAATTGGGGGATGAATTTTATAGCCAGGGTCATGGGCTCGATAGGACGGTTGCAACCGACGGCGAGGGTGACGGTTGTGATTTCTGAGCCCAACGCAGTGCTAGCTATAGACTCCGTTGGGTGCGGATCTAGCATGGGTCACGAATCTAACATAGGGAAATGGTGGTGTAGATCTAGGTTCTGATTTTTAATTTTATTTTTTTTATTATTTTGTTAAGAAAAATCCTTCTGGTGGTGGTATTTCGATCACCATAGCCTATAAAACAAATTCATGATCGTGGTCGATTTTGGGTTTGTGAGTCTTCTTGTCATGGGTATTGTTCTTCCACTGGGAATTGCCAAATACGAGTATGAAGATCGTCCTCAGAGCTTTTTTCAGTAATTTGACAGTGATAGAACAAAGTGGGAGAGAGAGATTTAGGCAACCATCCAAATCTTTAAAAAAAAAAAAAAGGAATTGATTGAATTCTGTTTATGTTAGATCTTTACATTGTTGTTATGATATACATTATTGTTATGATTTATGAATAGTTGAGTTGAGATAAGTATAAATGAATTACCAAATAGTATTTCTGTTTTTTTTTTTTTTATATTGAAAACAATTTCAGAATAAAATTACCAAACGAATTTTCAGAAATAATTTCTACTTAAGATTGAAAACGTTTTCATTTTTATTTTCATACAAAAAATAAAATTATTTTAGAACAAATTCCAAACGCACCCATTGTTTCTCTCTATCACTCTCTCAGTTGTTTTTTTCTTTTTTTTTGTTCGTATGCTTTTTTGTTTATTTTTTTTAATTGTTTCTCTGCTTAAAGCTAATCCTGATATAGTTAGTCAAGCTCCAAAATCTGGATTTTCATGAATCCTCTCTGGGTCGTTAACATACACAGGACTAGAAAACAACTTGTAATTAATTGAAAATGAATCCTGGACAAATATCATTACAAGACGTATCATGAACAGTTGATGTTCGGGTTTCAGGCATGCATAAAAGCTGGTGCTATTCGTGATGACTTCTCCTCTGCTTCCCCATTCTTTTGTCCGTAACCTGTTTCAAAACTAACAACTTTCCTGAAGTACACGTTGGTGAATAAACAAAGGTCAGGTCGTAGGTTTTGGAAATTTCCGTACCCTTTTGGACATAAGCTGCAAAGTTTCAAGAATTTCTGAGAATTGAGGTCTCAAAGATGGCTCCTGTTGCCAGCACTTTTCGATAAGTTCCGCCAACATTGGATCAGTATGCGCCGGAATCGTAGGCCTCAGGCCCTGCGAATTTATTTCCTCAATAAAATTAACACAACATCATTTTCCTTTCGTTGCTGCGAGATTAAAAAATGCTCTCAAACAAATGGTCTATGATAATTTCGCAGGAGTGATCTTGGACAGCATCTCATCAAGAGGAAAATTTGCCAACAGATGTGCTAAAAAATAAAAGGCTACGTTGAGGATGATGGAAAAATACCTTGTGCACCACACCGACGGCTGCTTGCATTGGGGTCAAATCCTCGTAGGGGAGCTGAGATTGCAGTCACAAAACACTTAGGATGATGTGAAGTCTGTGCTAGGACGAACTAATTCAATGGAAGATAAAGAAACATGAATCTGAAAATGGCACCCTATTCACTTCTTTGGGCTTCTATTGAATCGAGAAATATGTTTGATTGTCCATCTTTTTGATATAATATATACATCCTCCGGAAAATTCAAATCGAAGCAATTGGATGTCCGATTCGGGCCTATATGACATCACCAATCAATAGAAATACTCTAAGGCCCTGTTCATTTCACCGATTCGAGTTTTGCTACAGTAAAAAGCTTTTAGAAACAGTCACATATAACTTTTTTGCTACAGTAAAAAGCTCTAACATAAAATCACATCTCAACTCGAATTAAAAACTCGAATAAGTGAACTAAACGGGCCCTAATACTCCACCTTTGTCATATATTTCCATACATCACACTGGATAGATATTAAGAGCGAGGGAAAGAAATCCATAATTTTGTTTCAATAGAATAAGACGTTAAAAGTGAGATGACATTACCTTTCCCGTTACCAGCTCCCACAGCACGATTCCAAAGCTAAAAACATCCGCTTTGTGATCATAAGGTTTGTGTTCAATGACCTTTAATTCATGAACACCAAACAATCATGTGTCGGCACATCATGGGGAAAGACAACCAAAGGCACACAAGAAAGCAATAAAAAAGCGTGAAGAAATTACCTCTGGGGCCATCCAACGATAAGTTCCAGTTTCTGCAGTCATCACACCAGATTCAGCTTGCACTCTAGCAACACCGAAATCAGAAACCTTAACAACCTGTCAATATAATTTCCTCTCTTAAAGCAGAAGGAAGCTCAAAACAGCATGTTAAAGCTCTTAAATAGCCTTTGAATAACCTGGTTAAGCTCCTATCAACAAGGAGCATTTCGAAACAAGGACATGGATGCACAGGCCTGCATATGCATCCTTTTAGTTTTGAGAAAAACAAGTGTAAAGAAAGCAAATATGAACTTCAAGGAAACGCGAGCTAATAAAGGGAAGAAAAAGGTGATCGCAATTACCAAGGCAAAACATATGCCCTGTTCTAATCAACATGAGGCAATAAAATAGGATAACATATATTCTACAATGAGTTAAGGCAGGATGGGATCATGAAAACCTCAGGGAAGGGAACTGTGATTCTATTTCAGAGCAGTTCCTTCTAAGACAAGTCCAACTAGATTACAAAGTACTTAAAGAAAAAAAAAAGCAGAGAGAGAAAAGAAGCAAAGATTCTTACTCCATTTTCATCCATCAAAAGGTTTGCAGCTTTGAGGTCTCTATGTATTATGTTGTTTCGGTGTAAGTAGTTCATTCCCTTGGAAACATCAATTGCTACTCTAAGCAAGTACTGAAGTGGAACACCATTTTGTTTCAGAAAGTCATATACGCTTCCACCAAACATAAATTCTGTAATACAAACTAACGGATTATTGAAAATTGATTTGACATATAATAACCATACAACTAACCGCTAGTACCAAAAAAAAAAAAGGCCGGTAGTAGATGTAGTTAGAGAGTCATTTCAATTACCAGTTACAATGCACGGGTTTGGAGGTCTGGTGCATGCCCCAATGAATTGGAGTACATTCTTGTGCTGAAGCTTCCTACAAGTTTACAGGAGTGAAAAGGGATGCTTGGTTATTTCAGAGAGGGATCAACATTTTTGTCTATTGAAAAGAACGAAAAGGGTTTCAATATTTATGTTTCTAGATTTTTGGATTAGAAGAGATTTAAAAGAAAAAAAAAATGACCTAAAAGAAAGAAAGGCAGTGGTTAAATATGTACTGCAACAAACCTCATGATATCCACTTCTTGCGCAAATTCCCGGAGTATAGTTTCATTTAGGTGCTCGGCCCTCAGAATTTTAATAGCCACATCTTGATTATATAAAGTACCTTTGTACCTGAGGCCACTGGATCAGAATATGCAAGACATACTCGTGTGCGGTGTGCCAAAGAAACAGTATGTTCAAAGACAGAAAAAACTCACAAATCTCCAATGGATCCAGAAGCGATTTTCTTTTCAAATTTCAACAAGCGCAAATCAATATCCCTGCTGTCAAAAACATCATTTGGGATGTGTACATGATTAAGGATCGACTTAACTTCAACCTCTTGCTCGCCTGCTGGAGAAATCAAATATTTTGACCCAGGATGCTTCTACAATTCAATTAGAAGAAAAATGTCATATTGATAGATAACTTCTTAAAAATTGCAATCGTGTCATACAAGTACAGGGTTACTAGCCAAACCAACTTTTACATAGAGTAAGATTGCTGTATTCGTAGAACAATATAAACAGAGATATAAAAGCATATATCCGATATTATAATATACTTTTATTAGGAAAAAGTATTTTCAAATGAGGAAAAAAAATAAAATAATTCCATTTCTAAGAGGAGTGTAGTGTATAACTAAATAAGTTGCATTACCTCAATCCTTGATATTGCTTTTGCTAGTGCAACTTTAAGCTGCTCTGTTTCCTATAAATTTCAAATACGAATAAAAATCAACCGGTTCCAGAAGGAACATATCTAACAGAACAAAAGAAAACTTGAAGTTGAAGATTTAGGGATAATAAGAAACAACAACTGACAGAATCCGCAAACACTAAGTTATATGATTCACGGATATATTAATAACTAGTTTATGTATGATCAAACATCCATAAGAACCAATAATCAATTTGCTTTTATCATGCGTCTAAGGAAAATACCTCAAGTGTCCAGCCATCAACAAGAAAAACATCTAGAGAGTAGCCATCTATCGTAGAAAAAGCATGTGCTTCTTGAATGTTCAAGCCAATCTCAGACAGTAAGGATGTTAACTGTAAGGAAAATTTATTGAATTTTTAGGAATAACCATAGCAAGAACAAAACACTATTCAAGGACACCAACAAAGCTACCTGACTAAAAAGTTTCGGCTTGTCATTTGTTGAAATTGTAATCTCATGCATTGGCCTGTGTAAATAATAAATATTTGGGAATTTATTTGACTGGAATGACACAACTTTCAAAAAATTATTTGCCATGGAGAACTGCATGGGAAAAAGATATGACAATTAGAACTTTTTACCGGGAATGCAAGTGACTGGAATTCACAGTATGATCCCAATTATGAAGGCACAACTGGTTGGCTTCAAGAGCAAGTTTGAGGTCAGGTGACAAATCGAAAGCTGGTGGTGGATGAACGCTGAAATATATGATAAAAGGATAGTTAGAGTATATTTAGCTTCTTATACGAGGTATCAATAAATGGTCCTTTTCTTTAGCCATGCCTTTGTTTGCTAGCATAAGGGGACCACACTCCCACTTTTCTTTGTGAATCGGGACCTGAAGTCAAATGAACCTGCATAAAAGAGATATTGTCTATTGCAGTTAGCGAAGCAAAGAACTTCAAAGAGCTCACCTACTACCATTAATAAAACCTTTTGACTATAATAAGCATATTGACATCTACTTGAAATGAGATAACTCCCACCATGAACTAAGAAACAGAAAAAAACAAATAATGAACGCTGGGATGCACAGTTGCACATGTTTCTAACGCATTCCTTGATTTTTATATAGCTTAACTCAGTGTCCTCTCATTTTTTACTCATATCAATATGCGAGATACCCCAAAAGTCTTATAGCTAAAAGAACTCAATATCCCTGAAATCCCAATAGGGACCACTTCTACAGTTGATTAAACAATGTATTTCCATTTAGTATAAGGAAAATATATAAAGCCAAGAGGCAAGCTTCAATTATTGCATTTCCCTTTTCCCTACATCAACAAACTTCGAAGGAGTTTTGTGAATTACCTGCACGGGACGGACTTCAACTGCAGGTCTAGTAGCAGGGTCATGTGCCATCTGAAGCAGTCTTTTGTGCATAAGAACATCTTGTGCCCTCTCCACATTCACATCCAGTGCGTACCTTTTAATAAGCCAATTAGTATCCCAATTAATAGTATATCCCCTCTGATTTTAACTTATGTCCCTAATTTGTTTAATCTACACAGACAACAATAAAAGTTGTAAAGTTTTATCCTCAAGCTGATCAGACAAGCCCAAAATAAAATTTTAAGAACTAAGCCAGTCTCTTTTTTTTTTTTTTTTTTTTCCGTGTCCTTCGGTAAAAATAGCAGTCTTAAAATCTTGTACAACTGTTTTTCATCTGTATAACTAATCAGACAAGCACAAACAGTCTTTTGTATGGTTGTTTTTCTTTCCCCTGTTTTTTTTTATTTTTTTTTTTATTTTTTGGATTTTTCAATGATCAACACTTCGGCGACCATTATTCTCTTCCAAAGAGCATCCAGAAGGCAATACTTTTCTATGAAAAAATAAAAAAATAAAATATAAATTTAAACCAGAGAGAAACTCAAAGATTCTGTTGAAACAATTCAAATATTCCTCAATTTCACTCCTAGCCAAAGAGAGAACATCCAATTGTAATTAATCATTTATCTGAAAAGTAAGATAAAACATTCAAAAGATTCTGATCAGGAAAAACCGGCCCACATTATGGAAAAAAAAAAAAGAAACACTTGTAAAGGATTCACTTCGTTACCAAGAAAATCAACAACAAATAAAGACAAGCTTTAGAAATTTGCTCCCGGCTCAATCATATAAATACCGTACTTCCGAACATATACACGTACATGTATATGGTATACATATACGTGTATATGTACACGTATATATAAAATATACAGATAAATTTAAAATATGCATGCGTGTGTGTGTGTCTATATATATATATATATATGTGTGTGTGTGTGTGTGTGTGGAAGCAAAAGCTAGGGTTTGGAGGTACCGAGTAGGGAGGCGATAAAAATGAGCCCAGAGATCATCCTCGAAACCAGGAATTCTGGAGTCGGCGACGTTCAAGGCCATGAGTCGACGAAGAACAACATTGTAAATATGAACTTTCTGTTTGTGCTTCCGATTCTGAGTCGACGACGACATATCAACGGCTCTGCTACTGCAACTCTCCGTGTCCCCCATGATCACACACCGTCAAAGACAAAAACGCCCCAGCGCATAAATAACCAAGAAAAAGCCACACACAAAAAAAAAAAAACTTTTTTTACGAGGAGAAATGAGAGAGCTTTCTTTTGCCTGAAAGGAAAATAGCAAGAAAATGGAAAAAGGCAAGAAAAAGAGCCTTTTTATTATTATTATTTTTTTATTCTCCACCTTTGTTTCCCTCTCCCTCTGTAATGTCACTCTGTTGGATTTTGGTTTGTCTCTCTCTCTTTTTCTTCCCTTTAAGAAGACGAACGTTAATTGGGGGCGCAATGCGCACCCATAAGCTCATATTTGATGTCGACGTGGATTCAAACAATGCTTTTTCTTGCCTTGCTGATATCACGGCCTTTTGGTGGTCGTTAAGAAATAGACTTACATATAGACACATAAAAGAATTGGTTATTGATTATTTATTAATTTGCAAAAAATGATCATTATCCAATATGATTCATTGATAGCATCACCACCCCATCTTTGGTCTTAGCCAATAGAAAAAAATCTCGCTTGTCTCGTTATCCCCCACGAACTCCCTCGGAATCTTATTAGATAATTACACATTACACCCATAAGGTTGGACTTCATAAACTTTATTTTCCATTTTAATTTGAGGATTGGAAGATAAATGTCCGTTTAGTTCACTGATTTAAGTTTTTAATTTGAGTTGAGATGTGATTTTATATGAAAATTTTTTATTGTAATAAAAAAGTTAAATGTAACTATTTTTTAGAGTTTTTTACTTTAACAAAATTTGAATTGGTAAAATAAACGGGTCATAAATTTAGTATGACGATTAAATAATGGAAAATAGTAAAAAATATGCCAATATGAAAAGCTTAAGAAAGTATATAGACCAATTTTTAGTTATAGAAATTAATAGGCCATAACTTGTCAAGTTATGGTTCATAATCAGACAAGTTATGGATAAATTTATCAAGTTATAGTTCATAACTAGACAAGTTATGGACAATTATGAACAATAACTTGTCAAGTTATGGTTCATAACCAGATAAATTATGGATAAAAATAATAATTTGACCTATTTATTAACTTATGTAAATTATTAACATATTAAGTTTAATTCATCTCAAATATTGACATATTTCCCTCTTTCTCCCTTAAATAATTCATGAATTATTAATAGTTTTTTTTTTTTTGGAAAGTTGATAGGGGTTTACACTGGCTACTTAAAAGCTTTATCACACCCCAACTTCTCTCTCCTCCGAATGGACGACTTTTCTACATTATAAAATCCTAGTATGGCTTTTTCATAAGGCATGAATGTGAAATACACAATGTGGCTGGAATGTCTAGGGGGACTGAGGCAGGGCTTGGACAGTGTGGTTGTGCCCAATCACATGGCTACACGTGCTATTGTCCTACGCACTATGCTTGGCCATTGGCCAAGCAATGAGCAAAAAATACCCACTTAAAAGTGAGTTATGCCCATGATGAACCAAACATTGGAACTTGGCAAATTAATCATCGCGGCCCTTGTGGACCTTATTATGCTCCTATCTCCTTACTCTCTAGTGACAATGCCTTTTTCCCCCACTAGGCAGTTTTAATACCAAAAAAAAAAAGTAAAATGTTATATTAAATACCAAATCAAAACTCGTGCTTTATAGGTAAGGGCTTTCCAAAGAAGGGTAATATGTAGTTGGGATAATTTATGAAATTAAATTATAAAAAACACACTACCAATTTTTAAGTCTCCACGCCCACTCAGTTAATGGTGGAGTAATGTGATGGCCACCGAGTCAGCCACATTCTGTGCTGGTCGGTCAGAAGCTCTAAAAGGAATATCTTCCAGAATTTTCGTGAAGATTCATGGAGTTGTGTGGTCATTTGATCCGGTGACGTATAAGCCATATGGCAGTGGGAAGCTCTTCGTTGTATGCAGAAAATTGGGACGCAAAGGTGTACCAGTTTTCTCTTTTCAGTGTGGGCCCGTTTGGATTAACTTAAAAAAAACAGTTTTTGATTTATTTAGTTAAAAAATGGCTAAGGCTTCATTTAGTATGTAGGTTTAAATCAGAGTTTCTAATTTTGATTTTGAAACCAGAATCATAATTCATGATTTTGGGTTCAAATCATAGTTTTAGAACTACAACTAAAATCAGATGTTTGAACCACCAACAATTAAGAGAGGAGTGGTTTTAGAACCAATGGTGATTATGGTTTAAAACATTATATCATGGTTTAAATCTTGAACCAAAACCATCCAAACTAAGGTCTCGTTCACTTCACCGATTCGAGTTTTCAGTTTTAGGTTTCTACAGTAAAAAGCTCTCAAAAAATGTCACGTCTAACTTTTTCTGCTACAGTAAAAAGCTCTCAGTAAATGTCACATCCCAGGTCGAATTGAAAACTCGAATCCGCGAAGTGAACGAGGCCTAAATATTGATTTTGTCGAGTTAAACCAAAACTACTTTTTACTTTTTTAAACAAATACTGGTTTGAACCAGAACTATAATTCCGATTCTAAAATCCTCATACTAAACATCTCCTTAGATGTTCTAGTTCACTATTACTAAGTACACTACATCCCCATAATGATAAATTCTCATCACTCAAAATATAGGTCTCATTTATCCATCTAGTGAGACCTATTTTTGTAAGTAGCAGAGTCTTGATTTTATAGGGATGAATAGGCGCTCTTCTATACAAAAAAAGACACAATGCTGTGAAGAGCTAAGAAACACAATAGATGTCACTACCAGGTATAGCAGCAGCAACAGATGCCTCGATTTTTCCATGGAATCCCAAGATGGTCCAAAGAGAAATGGCTACAGTTCATCGTACTATGTTGAAGACTCAAAACAGAAAAGAAGTCTTGGTTTAAAAAAAATGGAGTTCTGGATGGGTTCAATCTCCTCTCATAATGATATTTCATCGCTTTGATACTTTTATGTGGTTTGTTGGCTTGTAGGAAATTCTATTGAAGTCTCGTTTATTTTATCAATTTGAGTTTTTAGTTAAAATTTTTTAAAAAATGTCGTATCTAATTTTTTCTGCTATAGTTAAAAACTCTAAAAAAATATCATATCTCAGCTCAAATTAAAAACTCAAATCCGCAAGTGAACGAAGCCCACAAAAATAATTACCAAGAGTGGTAATCAACAATCATTTTGAAAAATTTTCAATTTCACATGTCAACTCTACAACTCACAATTAATAATAGGTTCAATACAATCTTGCACTTCAGTCTCTGTAAAACTATGGTGATAATTATAAACTAGCATTTTTCAATTTCATAGGATGAAAAGTACGGAAATGTTATTGGATGATTAAATAAATGGTTAAGCTTGCACATATTATACACATATATGTATACTTTGTTACATTAATTTTACTCTCTAATTTTTGCGGGGGAAAATAAGCAAATTAGAACATAATGAATGCCCCTTCTGCCCGCTCCACAATTAATCAATTAAAACACAAAAAAACGTTGAAACTTTGAAGATCTCGTACTTATATTAAATAATTTCATTGCTAAAATGAGACAACCGTTGTTTTTATTTTCTTTTTTTTTTTGAAACGACAGAATGTCATTATTATACGAAAACTAACATTCCAATTGATTAATATTATAAAATTCCCGATTGTCAAATGGCATCATATTAAACGATTGAATCGAAGGAAAACATGTCTCCCACAAATGACAGAACCGGTATCATGAAGACGCCACTAAATTAGAGAAACGACAACGACAATGAATATTAAGAACGACAACGTTTCTGATAAGCTAGGAAATGTAAATCTAAAGGTTAGGAAAAGAGTAAAAGTGAAAGTAAGTTAAGGAAGCGCAGAAGACGACTCCAGAAACGACAACATGTTGAAAAAGACATTGAAGAAACAACGTAAATTAATCATGAAGCAACAGAATATCTCTTTAAAATGACGACATCATAACAAGAATATAGTATATTATCAAATGACTATGTCTTTAAAAACAAGACGTTTAAGAACGAGTGTCTATGATGTTTGAGATAATATAGATCTGGAAAACGACAAGTTCAAAACGAAAGGAAAGGAAGAATAAAAGAACGACAATATGTTTAGAATAAACTACAGCATCTCGAAAAATAAATCATATATAAAATGTTCATACAAATACGGTTCTTAAAACCATGAATTTCAAATAAACGGCAGTCTCCAAAAAAAACGACAACCACGTATATACGAAACTGACACACATATTTTGAAAACGAAAAGTTCAAAAAGAAAGGAAGAGTAAAGGAACGGCAATGTGTTTCAAATAAACGACAGCATCCTGAAAAATAAATCATACAACACGGCTCTTAAAAACCATGAATTTCTGAAAAAAGGCAGCGTCCTAAAAAACGACAACCACGTATAATTAAGCGCAACATTGTGAAAAGCTACATATATAAACTAAAAAAAAAAAAAATTTAGATAAGAACGCTGAAAAGGATCGCGTCTTTAATAACTGACGACCAATTTAGAAACAACCACACAAGTCACCAAGACGACACATCTTTGGAAAATTGCAGCGTTTCTTACCACAATAAATTGAGAAACATCTAAGTCAAGAAATTAGAACAGCAAAATTCCAAAAGAAAACATCTATTTTCCCTCATTATAAAAACATCTCTTATCTCAATAGAAAACGACAAAAACATTAAACGACGTATTAAAATTTTGAATATATTAAGTGACGTTTGGTTCGTGGTTTCAAAATCATTGTTGGTTATTTTGAATTTTAAAATTTAACTTTTTTTTAGAAAAATACCGTAACAAATCAAGAACTATGATCCTAAATCATACTAAAAACTCTCGAAACAAACGGAGCATTAAAAACCGCCAATACCCTAGTTGAATATGATCCTATAGAAAGAGGACATAGCAGCTATAAAACAATAAAAAGTAGGAGCCCTGTTTTTCTCCATCTCTGTCGATCTCTGGCATAAATGCCGTCAATTAATGAAGGGTGGCTCTCGCTGAACAAATTTCCTCCCCCGGTACGTATAGCTAAAAACTAAAAAATAAATAAGAAAACAGAGACCAATAACCAAAAGTCTCACAAGTTGCATTAATACGAACTGGTTAATCTGGTGAGATTCCAAATATAGTATTTAAGAAACAGTTCAGTATTACTGAGATAAAGCCTTATCATCTTAGGTGGTTCGATTCACTTTTTATTAATATGTTGCAGTCTGTGCACATACACAGGCATATATATATATATATATATGTATATATGTATGTATAGGGATAGCCTTGCTTGTGCTTGTTCCTGGGTTTCTCGATCGAAGACGTGAGAAGAAAGAGAGAGAAAATAAAGATGGGAAAGAAAAGAATATTATGGA